CTGTTTTCTGTGCGGTCGTGGTATTACACCGGGCGAGCCAACCCATTCGTGCAAAGATGTTAAAGCGGGCTCTACCACTGTAGTGTTCACAATCTGCCGGTTAATTGACCAATTAGAACGCTACTGACTTACTGTCCTGATCAAGTGTAATCCGCGCATAACTGAATTGTCACTGTCATTAAGATTATGTTAATGTTATTAACTTACCCTCCTACCGAACTTATCCACCATGAAAGCGCAAAGCACGCTTGCCAAAAGGTACGTTACAGCTAAAAGAACAGAGCACAGATTGGGTTGCATCGTTGGTACGGCTTCCTTGAACAGCGGCTCNGCGTACACTTGCAGCACAATGGAGCCCATCAATATCGTCACTGACATCACTATCAGCACTGACACCATGGCTCGCTGGGACGACTCCGATTTCACTGAAATAGCAAACATCTTCTAGCAAAGGGAACGGAATAAATGGAAAATATTATTCAACAGATTTTTTGCTAAATTAGATATTAGCTAGAAATCGTTCGAAACTCCCGCTTGAGTTTAATTTGCAGCAAATTACGTTTAAAAAACGAATTGTATACTTACTTAAAAATTTCCATTGTGATTCACTTCTTGTGGGCATTTCATTCTGATTCTCTATAAGTTCTTTTGTTGCATTTGGATCTGAAAATAGATAGCAATTTAGTAATTGCACCCTACACAGTATTAAAAGATTTAAATTCTTTGTTTATTTGATTTTGGTTTAATACAGTTTGACATCCGTAAGCAGTTATATCTGGGACATAAACATTGCATTGTAATGTGCTTTGCTCAACCTGTTTGTCTCCATAAAGGTTAATAACTGACAATCTCCTCATAATGACAAATAAAAAATAATCTAATGCCTCTTGTTATTCATATTCAAATAGAGAAGTCGCGTCATAATCTAGTCAATAAATCTACAGATCACAATCGACGAAAAAATCCGATAGTACTGATCTACCGCAACAATTCCTTTGCAAAGTGACTTACCATTTTCACCTTGCAGTATCTTGTCTATTCTTGGATCCATCTGCAGTTTAATCTTAGTTATCTCGACTTCCACCTCCTTAGCGGTGGAGGGCACACGTCTATAGAATGACAAAGACTCCGCGGCCTCCTGCACGAATACATTACGTATTCACTAAGCAATAAACGTGAATTAACTGTACTTATAATATTCTATTTTAAAATACTCGTTTGCATTGCATTGTTCATATTATTGAGACTAGAAAAGTATATGAATCCTTCAGTAGTATGATTTGTTTCAGATTTTATCTTTATCAATGTAAAAAACATTATTTGAGACACACAACATTGTTTTTTAAGTCATTTTATCAACTTTAATCTCAATAATTACTCTCTTGTCTATACTATTATAATAAAGCGTAAACACACACTTCTTTGTTGCCTAAGATGTCAGCAATTACAGCATGTTTTTTTTTTAATAAAAAGCCCTACACTTACTTCACGCTTTAGGCTATATATTTTAACGCCATTAAACTTACGAGGTAAATATTTAGGATAAAAACCCTAATGTGGGAAAGAGACCATTCGTTGTTGCCAACATCAAGGAAGTACGAGGAAGTAAGACAAATGTAAACAATAAAATAAAGTTTTTATAATTTCATGCGGGTGAAGCCGCACGGGAACAGCTAGTTCTTATATATTTCACAACAGTATTAATATCTCAAGCATAGAAAACAACTAAGAAGCATACACACCTTATCTTTCCCAATCTGGATCAGATAAACTGGCGATTCCTTCAAAAATGTCAACATCACCATATACATGATCGACATAGCGAGATGAACGTATGCCACTTGGTGATAACTGAGCTGACCTCCTATAGCGTAGGAGAAGAGAAGACCTACGAAGTACCCGGATACCGTGGTTGATGTCAGAGCTCCCCTAATAGAGTCCTGAGCTATCTCTGAGATGTAGACTGAGGAGACTGCCTGCCCCGCGGCGCCGACACCGCCTAGAGCCACCGCAAATATGATCAGTGGCGGCCATCTAGCCACTGATATAATACCCCAAGATATCTTAAATTACAGACAAAAATAATACGTTAAAACATCATGGAAGGAGACGAACAAAATAAGAAATAAACTTGAGTTGTTATATCTCAGAAATTTTAAATTTTAAATTAACATAAAAAAATGTAGAAAATCCTGACAGAAACTAACAACACAATTATCTCTAAATTTAATTATTCTGTCATACTCACAACAAAAGGTAATCCATACATAATAGCAGCATATTTCCTCCCGAATTTATTGACGGCGTACCCGCAAAATGGTGTGGCCATGAGTCCTCCAACATTCGTTAGACTGCCTAGTAATGACACCTCCATAGTGGACATGGGCGCGGACAACACAGTTGCGTTTGATTGGAACATCTCCAAGGTATAAGATGGCCAACCGTAGATTAAACCCGTTAGACTTGTCAGGTACGCAACTGTAAGTAAACAGTATGATTTAAATAATAGTTATGAAGCTATCAGAATGTTACAATAACTATTTCTGTTGTCTACTCTTTCCGCTCTAATTTTAGTTTAATAAAATAGTTTAATGTCAATAACTTAGCAATTTCTTGTAACAAAATAATTGCTATTGTATATGTAAGGCGTCGTAAATTAAACTTTTTTAAATAACCCCTGTCGCTAATATAATTTTTACTTTTTTAAATACAAAGTCTTCTATATTTAAACACTGCTGCACCGTTGTAGGTCCATTACTGCATATAAACAACAATAGTCTATTAATTTCTGGAAAACAACAGCATAGTTCTTCTACGTCTTATCAATGACTCGAGAGGATAAGTGCAAGAGTCAAATACATAACAATGGCACAGTATAACACCTTATATGACTAAAACATTAATTATAAATAAACTGTTATTTCGTCTTGAAGATAATAAGTTGATATCTAGAATTATATAGGTGAAATATTTTTGGAAAAACATCTCTCTCATAGATGGCGCTTTTGAGTTGCAAACCGTATTTTTGCGTTATTTTATATGGAACTAGCTTTCAACCGCGACTGTGTCAGCGTGAAATTGAAAAAAAACAAAAGCAAGTAGCCTATGTTTTCTTCCAGACTATCCTCTACATCCATGCCAAATTTCATCGAGATCTTTTCAGCAGTTTAGGCTACAAAATCTAACAAACATCCATCCATCTAAACTTTCGCATTTATAATATTAGTAAGACGGAATGTAACTTAATAGCTATTAAATTATTGAATTCATTCTATTAGTATATGGCAAAAGCAATGAGTATGTTTTCTTTGTTTATTTACACTTTATGACATCATTTTGTCATCTCACCAGTGTTTTTTATGATGGGTTAAAAATGATTTAGGAAGTGTATCGCATCATTTGCGACAATTCGGAAGGTCGATACTTTTTTGTGATATACATTTTTCGCTCTATGTCTTGCACTAATATGAAAAATAAGAATTCATAAAACATTTTAAAATAAACACTTTAACCCTTATTCTTTGAAAAAACTTAATTTATTTCTGTTTACGAATACTTACTGCTGAGTTAATTTGATTTTTTTAATAAAAATATTCTATGTTACTTACGCATTACGCATAACTATAATAATAACAATAATATAGCCTTTTATTCTGAAATTAAATTAAATATAGTGACTTATAGTATGTCTCTAATTTCAGCGTGCCTCTTGGCATAGGCCTCCCCCAAACTCTTCCACTGTTTTCTACCCCGCGTAACTCTTCTCCAATGTGGACCGGCAGTCAATTACTACATAAACATTAATAAAAACCAACACACTAACTTGCAAAAGTAGATAATCCTTGCACCAAAAAAGCCGACGGTCTTACTCTATCTTCCCCCATTTTCTATTATCTCTTTCTCCTCCCCGCGTGTACACTCCCACCCATTCGTCCACCCAATGGTACACTGTACACATGTTTTACTACATTGTTATATAAATATCGCTTTACAACGCGGGATTATGTATTAAATTAAGGCAATTTCATACATGTAACAATTCTGTTCTAGTGTATTACACTGTTAGCTTTTTAACTGTTTTGATATTTTCTGTATTCTTAAAAGTTATTTCTTAATCTGTACTATTTTAAATAATATTTATCTTTATTTAAAACAAAAATATTAGGAAACGGAAGGAATGTGAGTGTACATAAACCAGAAAGTGTTAAGATTGAATGTGGATGGCTACAAAGGTAGAGGAAGACCGAAAGTGTGAAAGAGGATTTGCTTAAGAAAGCAGTGGATTCAGATATGACGGCTGATAGAGATGTTTGGAAGAGCAGCACATACTGTGCCGACCCTCCGTAAGGGATAAGTGCAAGTGAATGATGGATGGAATGGTGGGGAGGCTCGAGTCGGGGCTCGAGCCTTATTGCGAGGTTCGAGCTTCGACTCGAGTCCTAAATTTAAGACTCTTCTCACAACACTACTCAGCCCTCAGTCGCCAACAAGTTCAGTGTTTTTCTAGTCGTCACCGCTGTACTTTCGATATCTTTATGTAATGTGGAAAATGTTACTTTACAGATTATTCCATTTAATACAAATTATCTAAATTGGATAAGCTGTATAATAAACTATAATAGTTTTCACAGACTTCATCCGCAGGTAGTTAAAGAAAAACAAAAGTAAGTAGCCCATCTGTTCTTCCACACTATATATACATCTATGCCAAATTTCGACGAGGTCCGATCAGTCGTTTAGAAGGCAAACTCTAACAAACATGTATGTGATTCTCGCATTTATAAAGTAAGAAGTAATCTTGGAATCCAGTCTTAAAATGTATTCATACAAATCAGGTTATTATTTTATGACCTAAATCATAATTAAACTAAACTTATAATACAGGAAAAACTTTACTACAGTTTGAAATTCTTGTGTAAAACTAAATTATTTAAGTGTACGACTGTGCATTTACCCTTCAAATGTAACGTCATAAGAAATTATTGTTAACAATAAATCTCTACAAACAGTAACCAAATGATAATAATTATAGCACTTGACTGTCATAGAGTACAGACAGCAAGACAATGTTTATTAGAAACTTATTTTCTTCACAGAGAATAAATTTGTAAGGAAAAATAAATCTAATTTATGTTAGACGAGGACTACTCTAGCCTCAGACACTTGAATCAAATCAAATGATAATATCACTTCATTATAAGCGTTGATGTAAAAGTTTATACTGATACTGAAAGCTTATTTCTATCGCCGTTTGATAAAGCCGTTATATTTATACTAGCTTTCGCCCGCGACTCCGTCCGCGTGTAATTAAAAAAAACGAAAAGTGAGTGGCATGTGCCCTTCCAGGCTATACTCTACGTCTGTGTCAAATTTCATGGAGATCCGTTCAGCCGTTTAGGCTACAAACGCTAACAAACATCCATCCATCCATCCATCTAAACTTTGGTATTTATAATATTAGTAATGAATAGAAGTAAGAATTGTTTCATTTGTACTCGACATACGACATTTTACACATGTTTTCAAGGTATGACTTTTTTCGTTAGTTTCTTTAGAGCGTGACTACCTTTGACTAAACTATCGCCCGACTGTTGTGCGATTGTCGATTGTTTCACGGTAAATTCAACTGTTTAGTTGCACAATTAAAAATCGAGAAGTGCACCTCCATATAAGCTCATAGCAAACAAAGACAAAACAGTTGGGCGATAGTTTAGTTAAACGTGTCCAAGATTTTACTATGACTTTTTGTTTCTGTTTTAAATAGCTTACATTGGGTTACTTTTTTTGACTTGTCGTTTAATAATTGTGTTACAAAATTAGATCAACTCTCACTTGAAAATAGTATGAACATTTTTTTCACATTCTAAAATTGTCCTAGAGAAGAAGTAAATAAGGCTTAGTTTTCTTTTCTTTTCTTTTCGTTTTTATTTTATTTTTAATTTGCTATCGCTACTTTAGCATTGTGCCAGCGTGGCAGCAAATTTACATTAGGATTTTTCTAAGCCTTCAAGTAAGTCAAAACGATTATCGCAATCAGATTAATTCGAATTGTATGTTTTTGTTTGTGACAAAAATGTTATCTGCCAAGTAATTGAGCCATCTGCAGTATTAAAAGTACATTCATTGCCTATGTATGTGGTATGATTTTTTCATTTATTTTTGTACAAGCTGTCACCCCCGACTTCGCCATCGTCATAAACTATAGCCTATGTTATTTACAGATAAATTATATTTCTAGCGGTGAAAGAATTTTTAAAATCGGCCCAGTAGTTTTTGAGTTATTGCAATATGTACAAAAATACAAATCATTCCTCTTTATAACATTATTTATTTTTGTATTACAAAGGGACGTATGCAGTTGCTTTTGCCCCGTTATTTTTAAATAGTCTTACTTTAATTTATAACAAAAGCATAGCTAAAACGAAAGTTTTATTACTTAGGAATCGATTACATCGTAATTGTTGAAGAAATACATAAAAGGTTATTTCAGTAGCGACACCTATTGGAGCATTTTGGAACTATCTCATTTTATTACTCGATGTCAATATTGAGATGCGTGACAGGCTCACATCACAGATAATAACTTTATGACATGAAATCATTTAGCATAAATCTTAATTAAATAAGGTCTGGCTGCTCGTGTTTGAAATTATTACGAAATGGCCAGAATAGAGCATTGAAATTTTTACTTTATAATACATTTTGTCTAATCAACATAATTTTAATTATATGTGAAACAAGTGTCTCGTTTCTCTAACGATTCTCCAAAGTGTTATTGCTGGTTGCTGAGTTCGAATGAAAACCCAGTGGATTAACAAGTAGGAGAAAAAAATGTAGTATTGGTCCACTGAAATTATTATTTTTTTTAAATGATTTGACGATAAAAGTATGGGAATCACTGGTCTAAGTGTAAGTCCACTTTTCGATATTGCCATAGATAATTTCACAAATACAAGGGTCCGTACGTGAAATAAAAAACACAGATAATTTCGTATTTATTTATTCTTGTATCTTATCTAATATGTACAGTACAAAATATAAATAAAGACCATCTTAATATTGTACATAATGTTTTTGCGAGAAACTTAAATTAATTTGAGAATACACTTCATCCTCAATATATTTTCGCAACTGAATCCTTGGCAGTGATAAATTAGTTAATGTATTTTTGTTGCTTCTTTTATTTACACTGAATACCTTTCTTTGCATTCTTATTTTCTATGTTTAATTGATAACATTACGCATTGCATCATCGCATTTAGAGTATTTGAGACAGTAAATAAAATACTGAAGAATTCAACATCGTATACGTCTATGAAAATTTCATAGATCCTCGAGACCTTTGCCAGCAAAGTGTCACAGCTAAGCTGCTCATTAAAGACCCTGCTAAAACAAGAAGACTGCCCCACATCGCCGCTGCAGGAGAGATGCAGAACCCAGAATTGTCCTGAGGTAAATCTTCCGCAAAAACTACTCGTAATCCTTTACCTATCGACGTCACAGGTTCTACTGTTCTATTCCCAACATGAATCACATCTCGTCGTCTTCTCTTTGGTTCCAGGCTGCCAGGGTTGGGACAAGCTTCACAGTCTGTCTTACACAGTTCAACATCGCATTGGATTATCAAGTCCATTTCATCAGGGAATTTAAAAGCACTAAAGTATGCGTATGCAATTATTGAAGCCCCGGTATTACCTGTGTCTCTCGTCTTTTGGAAGGATCCGAAGAGTTTAGGTTTGAGAACACAGCCATTACTGTCAGTCAGTGGTACGACATGACGGCTTCCAGAATCCCGAGCGACACATTCTCTGACGAGAATATCGAAACCAGCATCTCCTGTTACAGAAACAACTAGAGTCATTGTCTCTCCAATCTTAATAAGTCCATTGGCTTCTGGTGCGAATGGTCCTTTGCCAGTTTGAATATCCAATCGAGCCATGGCGGTGTCACCGCTGAAGTTACTTATAACTTGGTTCAACATTCCCACGCTAAGAGATGATACTAGCTGCTTCGTCAAATTTCCTTGCCACAAACATCTTACTCTTCGGATCTGATCCCATACTTCTTGAATTCCCACTTCGTTTTGCAAAACTAATACATTTTCTAAATAAGCTTGTCCCTCGTTTTCGAAATCACTAAAGAATCTTGTACCGCACGTGTTCAAGCTGACGGTAAATGAGTATTTAATTTGATTCGAATTTTCCCTTACATACACACATTCAGGATCATTGTAATGATCTTGTGAGTATATGATACCATTGTACTCTTTGTTGAATTCAATATTGATGGTCATCATCTCTTTGCCGCAGTCAACTGTGATAGCGTGGATATGAGGGGGGTGGCGGTCGTCATCATCTGGAGCAGACGGCGCAGTTGTTTGCTCATTGTTGTCAATGTCAGGTTTGGTTGAATCTGTTTGAGCTTCTTCTGGTTGCTGAGGAGTGTTGTAGGGGGGTAAAGTAGTTTCTTCTGGGAAGTATGGCGAAGAAGTGGGTGAACTAGGCTGAGATGGTTGATAGGATGGCTGCTGACTGGGTTGGTACGTTGGTTGACTAGGTTGGTATGTTGGTTGACTCGGTAGATACGTCGGTTGACTCGGTTGGTAAGTAGGTTGGTCCGGTTGGTAGGATGGTTGACTCGGTTGGTAAGAAGGCTGAGTTGGTTGATTTTCTTGAAACGATGGGTCAGTCGATGGGCTACCTTGGTACGGTGGTAAAGATGGTTGGCTAGGTTGGTATGACGGTGAGAAAGGTTGTCCGGCTTGGCTCGATGTAAAAGATGTTTCTGAAGGTTGACTAGGTTGGTACGATGATTGGGTCGGTTGACTAGGTTGAAAACTAGGTTGGAAGGGTTTGCTTGGCAAGTAAGGAGCTTGGCTTGGCTGATAAGGTGCTTGGTCTGATTGGCTGGGTTGATAGGGTGGTTGGCTAGGTGATGGGGAGCTAGGTTGGTAGCCTGGACTCGCTGAAGGGCCCTCATCGTATGCGGGTGTTGGACGAACACCAGCGGGGGGGTACCCAGACGGTGGGAGGTAGGAAGCAGGTTCAAACGGCCTCGGTCTTTCCGGTTTTCCTCCGAAGTATTGACGAGCTGAAATCAGTTGAAAAAATGCATTAAATACCATTGATTATAAGAAACTCTGTTCTTAATTTGTGCTGTTTATAACGTATTATACGTGAATATAGTGTAGATAGGTGTACGTAGTGCTGTTTATGAATTATGTTCTGCAAGTGATAAGCCAGGCGTGATTTAGTGTAACACATTCCAGTGCAGGTCGCAGCTCGTGCACTACCGATGTGCTCTCCGTATACAATCAAGTAAACAATTATTTATAGTTCTTCCTTTATCTGTGACGATAATGTTTTGTTTACACTCCAATAACTACCTATTACCCGCGACTTCGTCTGCATGATAATCATTTTCTCATTCATGTTAGTGATACGTTCAAACAGAAACCTACAAATGTGTATTAGACGAACAAAAATCAATAGCAGAATTTAATTAAATATCTCTTAAACAATAGTATTTCAGACTAACTTAATGAAAGAATCTTTTACTAGAATAAATTTCGAAAGTCGTACGTGTTAGACAGATTTAAAAAATCCTCGTTGAATAATCTAACGGTATCTTTCGGATCTTTTATAACGATAATGTTATGATTGATATCGGACCTTTCCTATTCCTCTGTTGATAAAAGCCTTGTATCCAGTGCAGCAGGTTGTTGACCATCGCGTCTACCTCCGCCTGCTGGCCGGGCTGCAGCTCGGCTGCAAAGCATCTCAGGGTCAGGAATATCATCACCAAGTAAGGAGATTCCATCACCAAGAGATATCTTTTCGGAATATCATACAAGTTTCCTCTCGTTTATTACTAAAGAGCTACTAGATACCATAAAAAAAGGTTGTTAAATTGAAAATGTTTAGATTTATCATCACAATACTACGTTAATCTAACAAGGTAAGTAGAGAAGGTCCGTTGAAGTTATAAAAGAATTTTGTTTCATGCGAAAGATGTTAATAAAATCTTATAAGTATTGTTAAATTCTGACAAAAATTACTACAAAAACGTCTAAATTAAAGGAATGTAAAAGTAATAAATGTTATAAAAATAATGTTATTGATTAATTTAAAATAGTACTTTTTTCTACAGAGATTTCTACAGAAAAGAAACATGCAAAGATTTTTATACCGACTGGAAGAGATTTAAAACTACCATACAGCGACATCTAGCGACGAAAAGAGTATATACAAAACATATTTACAAAATCATTAACGTTGTCTGTTAAACATAATATCTAATTCTATATCATTACTTATTATTTTAACGATTTATTAATTTTAAGTAACACTAAAGTTATACTTTTAATGGATAAGTACGTTAAATAACTAGATTTTCTATCAATTTTTAATTTATAATTAAGAATTAGTTAAGTTTGAAGAGTCATTGTTTTCTATTTAAAAAGCATAGCAATGTCGATTTGTTACTGTTTTGATGACTTTAACAATTATAAGATAATTTTAAATTTTACCGTTAAAAAATCTGAGTACATTTTTCAGTTATCTTATAATTGTTTAATGATTAAAGGAACAAATAGTTTTTTCTGCATAATAACAGATTTCTTTTTAACATTTTTGTTCCTCTAGTTTAGTTGCATTCTGTTTGTGTACGTACCGTTCCTAGATCGTTTTTTTGGTTCTGTAAAATAATAATTGTTTAATAATCTGAATAGAGAAATATGTAAAGTAAAACTTTATAATGTTAAACATTTGTATTAAATGTTTGAATGCAGAGTTAAAATAATTTGATTCTGTATTTAAAAGTCTACTTTATAGGATGCCATCTATTCTAATGAGGTTTCAGAATTTTTTGTACTCTTCAGTATTTGGACGCTAGAGACGAGAAATATAAAAAGATATCTGAACTAAGCCGCTTTTTAATTATCAATTTAAATGATCAGAAACATAAACCTTTAGTAATTTCTTTCTATAAGTCTAATAAAGCGCCCTCCTAAACTAAGCTCCTTCATTAGGTAGAGTCGTGGGTCGTTACTTTGCATTATTATTCTAGAATATTCGACTTACGGAATCTTGAAGCGGTGTCCGCAGCCCCGCTGGCCAGGGTCACCAGCGCGCACAGCGCCACCAAGCACCTCCAGCTCAACATCTGAAATTAAAAAATGAATACCACAATAAGTTGATTGTTATACAATCCATACTTTATGGTTAAGTACGAAACTGCTCAGAGCATTAGTGGAGTCTTTAAATTACCGTACGGCATCAATCAGTACAACACATAAAGTAAGTAGATTATGTCCTTCTAAATATAGACTATGTTTTAAATCTGTGACAAATGTCATAGAGATTCTTGGAGTCGTTTTGGAGATACTTTCTGTTAAGAAGAAAATTAGTACCGTGCTGTAGAATTGGCGCAACTCTAGATTATCGACATAAACGTCACGTCCCTAGCTGACAGCTGTCAATGTCATTTGAAGAATAGGGATATTGGCACGCATTCCTGACGAGATCTCTAGTGCAGTGTTAAATTAATATCCCTAGTAACAATTACATTAATTGTTTAAAACTTCTAACAAACATTCTTCCATCCAACCGCCATTTAAACATTCTCGTCTATACTAATATTATAAAGAAGAAAGATATGTATTTTTTGATTTTGGTATTTATTGATATAACTCAAAAAGTGCTTTGCTGATTTCAGAATTTCTTTCATCATTAAAAAGCTACGTTTTCAGTGAGTAACATAGGCTATATTTTTAATTTAAAGCGGACAAAGTCGCGAGCAACAACTAGTTTATAATACCTATTACTAGATTTGCCCCCGATTCCGTTCCCGTGGAATTAAAAAAAGTAAGTAGTCTATGCTTTTCGTCGGGATCTGTTCAGCCGTTTAGGCGTTAGGCGGCAAAGTCTAACAATCACCCAACCATCCAAGTTTTCGCATTTATAATGTTAATAAGTTAAGGGTAGGCAAAGCATCTGCAATTGCGGATATCTATGAGCAGTGGTCGCTTCACCGCTTTGGCTCTTTCAGGTGGCCGCTTGCTTGTTGCCACTTTATAATATAAAACATACATATTTATAGTAACGATAAGATTTAAACAATTCGTTTATTCCGACGTAACTTGTGAAAATGTAAGATCATATCAGAGCAGTCAACAATATAACATATCTGATAGTCAATAAGAACTGAAGCGACCATGTCAAGGTTGAACATAGCTCGCACGATACCGCGATCAGCGGCTGGGAGTCGATCCCGCGCGACAATGCACAATGCGCACCATCTTGCGTAATAACATAGAGATTATTATGTTAAAAATTAACAAAAAGAACTTGTTAATTTATACATTAGACCAGTGGTTATTATAGTTAAGGCAGTGTGATTCTAAAATAACTGGATCCATTTAAAAAAATATTTCACCGTTAGAAAGCATTATCACTAAATAAAATAGGCTATATTCATTATTAGATTTTTTAATCTTTCCTAATATTATACAGAAGAAAGATTTGGATTTTTGTATGTATTGAAATAACTCAAAAATTACAAGGCCAATTTCAAAGATTCTTGTACTTATATAGGGTAAACTTTTTATTTATTTTTAATTTCACGAGGACGAAGTCGTGAGTAACAGTTAGTTAATAATTAAGTTCTCGTTAGTGTTGATATTAAAAGTCGAGGGTGGATTTAAACTCATATATTTACTTATGTTTTGCATAAGTTGCATACCCTATTGTTGTTAAAACTACAAGTGGTTTTAAGTTGTGATTATGAAAATTCTTGAAACGCAGTATTGAATAACGAGGAAAGCCAACGTATTTCCAATTGTTTGTCAAACATTTTACGTTAGTTATGTATGACTTGTGACATTACTGTTTTAGTTGGAGATGTTACGTGCAACATATTTAAATTATGAAATCTTAGATTTCTAATTCAAGATGTATCAACAAAAATAACATGACGAGATACATTTTGGATATAGACACAAGTGTAGGCTTAATATTTATATCTGTATTTTTGCAAACAGAACTGGAGAAACGGAAATACTTTTTGGCAAATATCTTAAGTGAAAACCCATTAAAGTATGATTTAGGATCTAGGTTTTAAATATGGTACCAAAGTAAGTAACTTTAACAAACATTTAAAATTAGATCACCCATTCAGAACTGAAAGTTAGAGAAACTTAGAACCTTATGTGTTCTTCCAGACTTCTTCTATATCTGTCTCAAATATTGTCGGGATCCGTTAAGTATTGTAGATATATCATAACAATCATTCAAACTGCGCATTATATTACTACTAGCTGTTCGCGTGCGGCTTTATCCGCATGAAATTATGAAAATTTTATATTATTGTTTACTTTTGTCAAATTATCAATAGCAAATGTCAAAATGACATGGCGTGACAAACCTTGGCAATCTTGCTTCCTTGATGTTGGCGGCAACTTATGGTATGTTTCCCCCTAAGTTTAATGACGTGAAAATATATAGCCTAAAGCGTGACGCAAGTGTAGGGCTTTTTATTAATTAAAGAATCATTCAAAAATATGCTGTAGTTGCTGACATCTTAGGCAACAAAGAAGTGTATGTTTACGCTTTATTATAATAGTATGAGTGTACTAGACGATAGATGATAACCATTAAAGGAACTTTAATAAACGTTTGTAGCACGTGTCTCCGGATTACATAAGCGGATGTAAAAACTTAAAATGTTACTATGTTTTATGTAATGTAACAGATGAGCTAACGCACTTTAGTCGCGTGTCAATGCACCTCGCGACCCGCAACCTTTTCACAGACGATGTTACGTCAGAGGTTACAAGAATTCGCGACAAAACACTAATCATCGAACATCGAATCTTTAAAATGAAAAGTTATAAATCACATATTTTAGTAGTATTTTATCCGTACTAGATGTAGCCTGCGACTCTGTCCGGATATAAAAACTTAAGTAACCTACATATGCGTTCTTTCTTTAGGCTACAAACTAACAAACATTTATTAAATTTTCGCAGTTATAATATTAGTAAGAAGTATGAAAACTTACTATTTGAATATTGGAACTGAAATGACAGAACAATATTGAAATACCCAAAGTGGTTTCCGATAGTCATTTATTCCTAACATGTTCGTAACCTTGTTAACTCAAGTCGGAAGGCTTTCGAGGTAAAGCGGTAACAGTGGTAAGCCGTGTCGGAAGCTGGAGAGCTTTCTCTAAGTCACGAAGGCTTTGTTAAATTTGGAACATGTTTCTTGACACATCATGTTTTAAGCTTATGTAATGTTAAGTTAACTCTTTTACGATCAAAACTTTGTTTTTTAACTTTGAAACATTTTGATTTTTTTAATATTTAATGTTCTTAAGATTATTATAAGGTACATTTCCATATTTTTACTAAAAAAATTTCTTGCCCTCTCTTTCCTTATCATCAAAATTTATATCCATTTTGTTTCTTAGGAAAAAAATAACTTTAAAGTACTAAATCTCCCCAATCAAAGTTGACTAAAATCTAGGGTTCCCTATTTATAGATCAAAAAGCTTGTTATTTGATTACATAATGCGTTAACCGCATAGTTACTACATCACAGCGACATAAGGAACACATCCATTGTATCGATTGACGACCGATTGTCCGCTAAAGTTGATTCAGATTGCGAAACTCGCTCGATTACTAGCTCCAGAAATGCACGGGTTAGTTCAGAACGCTTTCTGTTGCCCTGGTAACAAAAATAAATTTTGCTCCTAAATTTTTTTTAAATCCTCGACATTTATTTTTAAGATTTAGGCTAAAATGTTATTTCAGTCTAAAATTTACGAACTTATGCGAACCATTTAAAATATGAAACTAATGTTTATGAACTTTGAGTCTGTTCAAGTGACATTTTGTAATCTCACTAAAAAATGCGAAAGTTAGGATGGATGGATGGATGTTTGTTAGAGTTTGTAGCCTAAACTGCATAACGGAACTCGATGAAATTTGACATAGATATAAGGATAGTCTGGAAGAACACATAGTCTATTTAATTTGTTTTTTTGTTCTAATACCTCGCGGACGTTGTCGTGGTCGGTAGCTAGTCCTAAATAGTTCACAAAATAAACATAGTAGGTAATATAAAATTTCACCTTACTTTTATTTAAAATACTTCATTCAATCGATTGCAAGATATTGGCAAACATTTCAGTACATTGCAAACTGTGTAGGAGGTCTAAAAGTCTAGATTTATCTATTGCCTAACACTACTTTTGTTCGAGGATCCTTGTGTGAGCGCTGTGCAATTATTTCAACTAGTATACTTGCATTTCATTTAAAACATACTTTGCCAAGGTTCTCGTAGTGTTGTAGTCTGTTTATCTCGTCTTTTGTATCTTAACGAACTTGGTATGTGAGAATGTCTACAAATAACTACTAATACTTAGCCCAAATAACCCACAAACTAACAATGCGTTATGCGATGTTATCGGACGCAAGAACAGCAATCTCACGCTCCCAATGCTAACATATTAAATCAATTATGAACTTTATACGAATTGCTTAAGATCGAAAATTTATTAGCAATTTTATTACCACGTGACAATATTGCAATTTAAAAATAGATACACTACACGGGAATTAAACCCCAATCACAATAGCGTTAAAGTCTAAATTAGCATGATTGTTTTAAGTGTAAATTACTAGGATTTCAGGTAAGAATTCCAAGCGCGTTCGTTCGTTCTACTTACACCTCATTGTTCAAATCAAATGACGCGATCAATCATATTGCTTGCAGTTTTTAAATCGTCGAAAGATATTTCAAATTTATGTTACCCTGGTACTTGAATTCTATTAGAATCGATTCTGTGCACTTTATGGTCCCTTAATGTACCCTAAGCATAGCTTTAGTACAAGTATTAATTAAGTTTGTATTTTAAAGTAAATTGATTTTCTTAAATTGGGAATTCAGAGTTTTTTGTGATTGTTATAGAAAAAAGATATTACTGGTATGCGAGAGTAAAAAGTTCGACACCGCGTAGCAGGGAATTTCCCATGTGCTGTGACGTAAATCTGCAATTAACAATATGTAGCACTATTGTGTTATATCTTTGTACAAAGTTGGTAATTTTATTGTTATTACACTTAGAATATTGAATTTATTTGATTAACGGATGGATATTGAAACGACATTTTAAATATTTTAACGTCTGTCAAATTTCAAGCGGCATTTACGAAAAGTGTTTGAGATTCGTTTCAGTTAGTACACCAAAGATTTATTCTAAAGATTCAATTCATTACCGAAAACAAAAGAAAAGCACTAATAATTAAGTACTAGTATTGATTATCTGTGGTTAAAAAGTACATCTCTGTTTTTTTCTAATAAGAAAGAATGACTGTCAGCTAACACACAGTAAAAATGGCTACGGTGTCATAAAATTTAAGTTTGCGAAATATAGAATCCGTTCAAAGGAACTTAGTGAATGTTAAGTTATTACTATCAATCATACAAGTGGATTGCTTATTCGTGATCAAGTATTTATCTATAAATGTTCCATCTTTGGAAATAACAAACCAATTTGCGATATTACGTTTCAATGATCGAAGATTGCACTTTGATTCGAACATTAATAAGAACGTCGGATAAATTGTACATATGAAAATTCGAAAATTCGAAAATCACATTGATACGGCGGGATTTGAACCCAAGAACTGTAGATTACAAGTCAAGTGCTTAAACCACTGAGCCATTGAATCTCTCTTAAATACGCATATTGAAATATACGCTGTCCTTTTGTTAAACGCACTTTTAAACAATAGCACACTAAAATTAGTAGAATCGGTGAGAGCATCGACGGCTCAGGGGTTTAGGCACTGTCTTATAATCTACAGGTCTTGAGTTCAAACCGCCACGTGATTTCCGATTTTCGAATTTCAAATGTACATAATTTTTACCCATTGCTAACATGTCCAACTAAACAACTACTATAGTAATTTCCATAAACAATTTCTTTAAATATTTCACACTAACATCTATGAAAATCACTAACCACGCCTCAATAATTAATGTGCGATTCTCAATAACATATTAGAGAAGAGAAACTCTCTAAGGTCATGGCTAGAAAGTACCTCAGGTATCCTAACTGGTCTTATAGCAAGGTCTAGACTTGGCCTTTAACACTAGATCCTACCTGGTGACAGTAAAGTCACGATTGTCACGAAGATGTTTGATTTCAATTCATCCCTAAATTCTTTTCATTAACTTAAGACAGATCCAAGAAACCTAAACTTCCAGAAACATTAAAATGGTCTCTCTCTAATTTGAGTTGTAAAAGTGAGGTTATGTCATTGTATTTACTAAACATTTTTCTAATTCATAAATGGTCAATTTCATACAAGAAGTTTAATATTTAACTTTGTATAAATTTGACGTAACAGTTTCCTGCATAAATTTTTTCAACGTTAAGTCTTATGTAAGAAAAATCATATAATTACAAGCAATTTCTGCTTTAATTGTATAACGAAATCGCAGTAATGTCTTCTACAGCAATTTGGGATACGTCATTATTCAAAGTGGATAATATAATTTCTCTTACATCATAAGACAATTCGGAAATGTTTAGAAAGGAATTTATTTAAAAAGATCTTTTGTTCATCTTGAAAAATATGGTTGTCTTTTTACTTTATGAAATCTTACGGTTACACTTAATATTATTTATTATGATAGTTTTTTATTATTAAAAAAAAACGCAACAGAAATTGATGTTATCTAACAATCATCCTGATAATCTTTGCCTTTCATCAGGACATTAATGCAATTTTGAACTTTAACGTACTTATAATAAAGGTCATAATAGCATTAAAGGAATATGCTACGATCGCACAAATTACTCGACAATCATTATAATGACACTAACGATTTCCGTTTAAAGGTCGTTACACATCGGTCGATGTTCTAATTTTAAATTTGTGTTCGAATTTCAAAATCCATATTCTGTTTTCAAGAATGTGTTTACATTTTTGAATTCCTTGTTGTATTAAATTATTTATTATCTAAAATAAATAATCAAATAAGTTATTATTTCTTGTAAATGTTACGGTTAATAATACTTATTTTATTAAAAAATCGCTAACTACATTTGTGAAAGTAAAAACTAGAAGTAAATCGTATACGATAAGCCAATTGTTTATTTAAAAAGAAAGCACCGTGAATAATTTCAACAAATATTATTAATTGTAAGTGATGAATGGCGAAAGTAATTAATTGAGAGCGCGCGAAGCGTTAAATTTATAAACGCCTCACTCGGATGCGTTATTTAAATTTGTTTTTGTTTTTAAATTAAGCGTTTAATATTTTTATTAGAAGTTCGTTAGTGTGAACACAGTCTTAGATAGATATTTTATTTAATTAGTAAAAAGTAAAAAACGACTCGATTATTTTAATGTCTAATAGGATTGGTTATTGTTATTTTATACATATTTCTTTCATAGTTCTTTGTTTATGGTATTTTGAAATAAATTATTCTATAAGAATAGAGAATAAAACTGGTGTAAATTGGCTTTTATGTATGTAGGTATGTGATATTCTAGAAAATATATGTTAAGTTACAAAAATAACCAATGTCAATACATAGTATAAAACATAGTCGCTTCCCGCTGTCTGTTTGCTTAGATCTTTAAAACTACTTAATGGATTTGATGCAGCTTTTTATAATGTATAGAAATATTCAAGAGGAAAGTTTACATTAATAAGACATGTATAATATATTAGAGGAATACTGATAATTTTAGACGTTTCTAATTATTCATTCATTCAATACACATTGTCATATCAGCATTTGATGGGCGAAGCCGGGGCTAGTCACTAGGAGCTGTACAAACTATAAAATTGTAGCAAGATATGTCATTAGATGAATATATATTTCCTTTGAATACTTTTGGTAAAAATAAGTATTTTATTTTGAGATACAAATAATAAAATGTTACACGAATGGTATAATGAAAAATTGCTTCATGGATTCAGCGTTAAATTTCACGCAGAATAACTTTATTTCTGCGACATATTTTTAGAGTGTTAAGAAATGTCAAGGCGTCTTCAATTGTTTTATTTTATTACGAAGTGCTATTGTTTGTCATTCTTATTATGTAAGGTTACACAAAGGTAAAGATGGATACTGTAAAAATATACCGTCGTAAGTTTTAATTTATCGCATTAATAAATAAACAATCTTACTAATATTATAAATACGAAAGTTTAGATGGATGTTTGTTAGAGTTTGTAGCCTAAACATCTGAACGGATTTCAATGAAATTTGATACAGAAGTAAAGGATAATATAGAAGAACACATAGGCTACTCACTTTTGTTTTTTATAATTCCACGCGGAAGGAGTCGCGGGTGAAAGCTAGTTTTATTATGTTATTAATAAATTAACTTCAGCTGCATTTTTAAAATCATAATTTAAAAAACATGTTTTGAAATGTTGTTTGTAATATTAAATTGTCCTTATCGATTTTAATGCTTATGTTATTGATTTACTATTAAAGATAATTTATGTTTTCATACAACTTAAACTGTCGCTACCATTTATTTAGCTTTTAAAACATACATTATAAAAGAACTTCAAAGTAATATTTAATTATTGTCTATTCTCAATTAAATGTAAACTCACCTTTGTACAAAAATAATATTATATCACCAGGAGGAACAGAACTATGAAAAAAAGATATAAATGTAGTCACAACACAAAAAAAACACTATGTCAAACTGACAAGAATCCTAAATCCAGTGCTTCTAAAACTTTTCAATACAAATTTAAACTTTATAATATAAGAACTTATAAAAGCTTTGGATGAGCTTTTAACAAATGGCACTTAGTTAAATATTAATTGCATAGTTTAAGGTATTAAAAAGTTTGAGAAGCATTGTACAAGATTCCCAACTGACCCTTTTTTGAAAACGCAACGCGCTGTTTGGTTCAAATATAGAAAGCGAGTGTTCGCGGGCGCTGCGTACTACACGCTTTTAACCTCTCCTAAACCACCACCTCTGTTATATCGTGAACTCTTAACTCGATGACGCAACACACGAGCCGAGGTCACCTTACAATGGACGATGTTTCGCACATTCCGGGGGCGACTGACATCAAATTAATGAAGATTCGTTAATTACGGATAAAAGATAGCTCTAACCCCGGCTTTGCTTGCACAACGTATAACCAGCATTGTACGGACAGACAGTGTTATTTACCAAGTTAGCGTTAAGTTATGTTAAGTAACAAAAGACGAATTTGTTAACGTCTTATCACAGTGTTTTATCTTTACAGCTTAATTGAAACTGTGGTTTCCTTCGAACTTCGACAACAATATGAGTTTCGCAGCCGGCGGATGTCATGAGAAAATGTTAGGAACAAAAAAACAATTAGAAATATGTTGATAAACGATTGTGGTAACTTGTATTTGATGTTACTTGAAGTGCGCAAGTTGTGTTGAAGTCAAAAACTAGATAACATCTTAACTATGATTTACTTAACACTTCGCATGCATATTTCGCTGTCTAGACTTGCAACAAACATAGTGTCTAAAACATCTTGAAACATTCGTAAATAATCACAAGACATTTTTAATGACTTATAATTCATACCAAAAAAAATGAAAGAACGCTATAGTAATCGAAAACCGTAACTATCGCTTAGAGGACTATTAATCCAATTTTCTTTCTTAAAATAATATTGAGATCGATCTATAGATCGATTATTGAATCTATCTTTATTCTATACTAAATTCCCTTTTAATAATTTGAAACAAAATTTACAGTAATCCTTGAATTAATACGCCTGCTTAGTAAAACAATAAAAGTACTTAAAGAAAATTAGTTTTTCATTCATTTGTTTTAATAATATCGTATATATGTAAATAGTAATAATAAATCAGATTGCATCATAAAATACTAAGTGAAGATGCTGAAACCAACTTACAAGCACTCATTAATACGCAATATCATTACTTAGGAGGTTACATCCTTGAAGATTAATTCCAATTTATTCGTATAGATGTCGCTAGTTGACAAGCAATGAACTCAGAGCCTAGGCCATATTCAACCACGCTGTACTGCGGGTTGACTTCACACATATCTTTGAATTTTTACGCAGATATGTACAAGTTGCATCACGATGTTTTCCTTCACCGTAAGAACGTCGAGTAAATTACGTACATATGAAATTTGAAAATTGTAAAACACACTGTTTATGGCGTCCATTGCTTCTGTACCACGATGCGGAATAGATGAGCATCCCTTGTACGCAGGGTGCGAACCAGCCCCAACACCATTCTACAGACTGGATTGTAGATATATTAAACACTGAATAAAGCTGCATGTGGCAATAATTGTATATAACATTTTAGGATAATATTTAGATGTATGTGTGACTAAGATAGGTATTCAGTTTTTTTCTGTTAATAACAAACTGTGGGCAAAAAAGAAGCTCGAAATAAAGGTTATTATTATCTATGTATTATTATTATAGCGGGATTCAAACTTAGGAACTTCAGGTTGCAAGTCAGGAGCTTATCTTCTGCGACCGATTCTTTAATATAGCTACCCTTAGTAATCTGTACTACATATTTTTGATCTGGATTTAATGTCTGTGAGTACAGCAGTTAGGTAATAAACAGTCAATTGGTACATTTTTTTATCTCATTGGAATCGAACCTTGAATCTTGAATATAACACATAACTACTAAACGATAATGTAACTTCAGAGAATTTATGTGTCTTATGCAACTCATTTTACAAGCAAAATGTTGAATTTTATGACTGCTGAAGCAATGGTTTACTTCCGGTATTTTACAAAACTTGTAAAGGAAATAACTGAAAAACATTACAACTGTTCATGAAAAGCTTAAGGAAAAGTTTCAACTATATGTAGCTGCCAATTTATTAAATCAGCCTTTTTACCAAGTAACTAAGCTACAAACATAGCTAGAAGTTTGTAAATTGAGGTTAGATTTTAAAAAGTTTTGTGACGTTTGAAGACCTAATACGCATGATTTCATTCATATTTAATGTACAGTCAGCTGCACAAATGTATATATATTAAAAAAATTAAACACTTGTATAGGCCTTCGGTATTATATACATTTATCCATTAATGAGGTGTATTAATTGTAGGAAGCAAACAGACAGACATTCGCATATATGTTATTGAAACCGAAAGCGTTCACAAGTTTGTGTAGCTTTGTAAATATATACAGTTATGCAGTTGACTGTACAAGGTATTATCATAGAATTTATTATTTATTACGCTCACAGTCACATAAAAACCACCACCATGACAATATTGCGTTCCGTTACATGCAAATAGTCTATTAATTTAACATTTTTACATGATATTAAAATAACCATATTAATTACGAATAAGTACTCTTTAATACGCGAAAATCATAACCGAATGTACGTTATATAATGAACTAGTTGTTCCACTCGACTTTGTCCGCAATAAAATAAAAACTTCGTAACTTATAAGTTCTTCGAGACTTATTCGTTAAGCCGTTTTGGATACGTAGTAACAAATGTCCAAACATTCTCATTTATAATGTAAATAGATTTCTCCTGCGGAACTGTGCGCGTGTAATTAAAACAACAGACTTAGCCTATGTGTTCTTCCAGACTACCTACCATGCCTTTAATCGAGATCCTTTCAGACAGGTTATAAACTCTAACAAACATCCGACTAAACTTTCGCATTTATAATATTACTCATAGTAAGATGAATAATACAAAAGTTAATTTTTAAAATATAACGTAGATTCTAATTATGCCTCAAATTTCTTTGTGTTAGAATTATAAAGGAGAAGTAATGAATTTGCATACATTTGCAATTTCATTTCGTATTGTCGGAATTTTAAATGTTAGTTTAAATACTTCGAAAGTTATGTAATTGGGACGAGTTAGATGTACTATATCCGTTAAGTAATAAGCGAATGTTACTTAGGATTGGTGAACGTTTAAATATTAAAACTACGTACTTTATATTATTTCTAAGTTAATGAATGCGAAATATCTTGAGACTTTGTTGTACAGATGCGTGAAAAAAGATTTTGGAACACTTTTTGTAATTACTACTTCGCCCGCGTGAAATTACAAATATAACTATAACCTATGTTACTCACAAACAAATTACCTTTCTTACAGTGAGAGAATTTTTAAAATCGGCTAAGTTTTTGACTTATTTAAATATATACAAAAATCCAATAATATAAATATTTCCTCTTAATATTAGTATAGATTTTGACGGATTAGTAAATTAAAAAGTTTGGAACTTCTACATTTTAATCTGTTTAGTAATATTCAAATTAAATAAAGCTTTGCCTTCGTGAATATTAGCGAAATAAATTAAAAAATCGAGGCTAAAAAACCTATACTAATAATCGCCTATTAAAAACAGTAAGCTATATCTTATAGTTTTGAAATACAGAATGTTTATTCTGCGACATCATTTTAATATTATCTTAAAAACCAGCAACATTTACATGGCTTATAAAATACTAATTCGTTAAATTTGCATTTATTGTAAATGTTTCTTGAATTAATAGGCATCGGCCTGTGCAAGAATTACGCAAATAAAGAAATATTTTACAATGTTATTTATTATTCATGTAGAACATCCTGTAGATTGCTCGATGGCATATATCATTATTATCCAATACTAACTGTTGCCCGTGACTTTATCAACGCAATGTTAAGATATGTATCTATACTATTATAATAAAGCGTAAACACACACTTCTTTATTGCCTACGATGTCAGCATTTACAGCATATTTTTGAATTATAATTTCTTTAATAAAAAGCCTTTCACTTACGTCACGCTTTAGGCTATATATTTTCACATTATTAAATTTGGGGGTAAATACTTTACAACAAACGATAAAATAAAATTTTCATAATTTTTTGCGGATGAAGTCGCAGGGGAACAGCTAGTATTAAGATAAAAAAGTAGCATATAACATATCCGTCAACTACCCTTCAGTGAAAGTCCGCTCGAAATGAGTACAGCCGTTTCGGAGATTACCCGGAACAAACGCTGCTTTCGGACAGACAAAATTTTTTTAATGGGGTTTTCGTTATCAGCAACGCAAATACGACATCTTCCTGAAATCTGGAATTTTTCTTTTGTGATTACAGACACTCCAATTTTATTATATGTATAGATAGAAGAAAGTAGCAAAGCTTATATTGTTTTTTTTTTCTCTTTAACCTAGGACTTTACTTACTGTTAATCTATGCGTATTTTTGGTATTGTAAATGTAGCGAACGAATTCGTCGGAATAGCAAAGCAACTGCTGCTATCTACATGTAGATATACGTTACCTTTAATCGTCGGAGAAGGGGACGCGCAGATAGATGTTACCTTTATGCGTCGCTTCCTCTGCCAAAACCACGTATCCTGTCCTTTCCTTACAAGAAGACTAGCTTTCGCCCGCGACTCCGTCCGTGTGGCATTAAAAAAACAAAAGCTAGTAGCCTATGTGTTCTTCCAAACTGTCTTCTACATCTATGCCAAATTTAATTGTGATCCGTTCAGCAGTTTAGGCTACAAACTCTAACAAACATCTACCCATCTAAACTTTAGCATTTATAATATTAGTATGATAAAGCACTAAAATTAGGAATCCACGCAAAATGTATAATTTAGTTTAAATGTGAACATTCTTTCTTCCTATAACGCCTGATTTCGTGTTACTTTCTTCGTTCCCTTTCCCGTGACTAATTTAAAGCTTGTACGGTCGATACGAAGATGGTAACACTAACATGGCAATGCCACTTTCACATTCAACCTTTTATCTATTGCGTATTCTTGTCAAATTAACACTTCTGTCATCGAGTGTACAGCCAAAAGAAAGGAATTTAATTCCATTACCATTTTGAAATAACGTACAGTTATCATCGTAATTAAGCAAGTATGATACTATAACATATTTCCGATTTAATTGTGTTGAGTGTCAAATTACATACATGGGTAGGAAATAAACGTCCTCGACTGTGTAACCAAACGTTTTAAGGTCACAATACCAACAAAGATACATTGACCTTAGTCAGTGTTTTGTACAAAATTCGTATTTTACTATTTATTGTCCATTTTTCAGAGTCGTTTTGTCTGGCTAATGAGCCGTTTGACCATGAAATCATAAACGACTTCACTTTAAATTAACAAGCCCTCTTTGAAAGGTATTTAATGGAAAAAAAATCGTCAAAATAAAAAAACGAGCTGTTTCTAAGTATAATTTGGTTCTTAAATCATTAATTCTTAATGAAGTGACAATATCTCTATTCTCCATTTTAAAAGGAGGATATAATTCTAGACCATCTTATTTCTTACCACAGACAATAAAAAACTATACTAATATTATAAATGCGAAAGTTTAGATGGGTGGATGTTTGTTAGAGTATACAGCCTAAACTGCTGAACCAATCTCGATGAAGGCATAGATGTAGAGCATATCCTGGAAGAACACATAGGCCGCTTGCTTTTGTTTTTTTTCCACGCGCATGGCGTCTATAATAAACTGCATTTCATTCCAGTTACACAGATTTATTAAAACTAAAAAACTCATCTCAGGTCTAATCATAATGCGTTGAACATTTGATATTATAAAACAAATAATGGGCTGTATTCAAAATTCTGATTGGCCATTAGAAACAATTAAACAATCTAAATTTTTAACATATTACTTAATTTTAGAGATCCTTTATTCATCACCGTCAACTCCCTATCTTTATTTTACTTTCCGATCGAACTTTAGTGTATGATTATCCCTTAATAAATATTTAAGTTAGTTACAAAGTAACGTTCAGATTTATCTTGTTGCATATCTGTCTTCTTTGCAACATAATAAAACACTATAATATTAACAGTGGTAGAGCCCGCTTTAATATCTTCGCACGAATGGGTCGGCTCGCCCGGTGAAATACCGCGATTACACATAAGACAGACGTGAAGTGGAAACAATTCCGCGTTTCGTCTGATGAGTGTGGTCCCGGAGGCCTAATTTTAGTCCCGTTCCCTTTCCACCCTTTTCTTATGAGGAAAAGATGGGAAGGAAAAGTGGATTTGACGGTAGAGGAGACGCATTAGAAGAAGAAATGTCCGCTATGTGCGTCTCCTCCTCCGTCAATGAAGGGTAGGCAACGCATCTACAATTTGGATGTTTATGGGCAGCGGTCGCATTCCGTTTCGGTGAATTCAAATGACCGCTTGCTCTTTAGCCAACCCTATATTATAAAAAAAAAAACATCGTTTATATTTTTCTATCTTAAAAATTTAACTTAACGTGTGAGGTCTTCACATCCCACGTAATAAACTTTTAAAATAGCTAAAAGACTAACAAATCTTCACACATAGCATTTAATTAAGTACTTTTCTATTAGGCAAATACTAATTGCAGTACACGGAGAGTCAACTACACAAGTTGCACAAACTTCAGTGTCGTGATCGCACGCTTTGTTATGAAATACAAAACTTGTGTTAAAATAATAATAGTAAACTACACATATTAAAATATAAATAAAGCCCTTAAGCATAATCTCATATATGAGAAATCAAACACTATTCACGCCCTAAACCACGGACGGTAAGGAGATATTGAGGCTTTTATAAATAGTTTAATATTCTGATATATCAGAGTATGAAAACAGTATTAATGATGTACCTTTCTCCCGCGACTCCGTGCGCGGAATTATAAAAAAAAAAACAAAAGTAAGTAGCCTATATATTCTTCCAGACTGTCCTCTACATTTATGATAAGTTTCATGGAGATCCGTAGAAGGTTAGGCTACAAACTCTAATAAACATCCATCCATCTAAACTTTGGCATTATCAGTAAGATATAATTCAAAGTGGCATATTGTTTTTTTTTTATATTGTACAGAACCCTAGTAATTAATTTGTCTATTTTGATGTATTTTAAGCGGAAAGTGATTGTAGTTAACTTTTACTGCATCAAATATACCGAATGATAACGAAATTACGCACATTTACATTACACGTTACGGTAATAATAATTGTTCGTTTTACAAAACGGCGCACTTTCGGTGAAATATTGTATAACTTTATAAATACTTAGTAAATAGCCTGTGTTCTTTCAGACTGTCCTCTCTATGCCAAATTCCATTCAAACATTCATCTATCTAAACTTTAGCATTCAAATTATAAGAAAGATGTAACTGACCTATATGTAGATATCATGCGTGTATATTCGTTCTTTGAAATTTAAGGGATTCAAATATATCTAAAAGCAATAAGACTGTCATATCTGTTAGTTCGCAAAGTACAAGAGTTAGCGCACACCTTTGACTAAACTACCGTCTGTTGTGGAATTATAGATTGTCGATTGTTTCGCAGCCAATTCAACTGTTTAGTTGCACAACTAAAAATCGAGTAGTGTGCGCTACATATAAGCTCATAGGAATCAAAGCGAGACTAAATACTCAGGCGATAGTTTATATTATAAATGCGAAAGTTTAGATGGATGGATGTTTGTTAGCGTTTGTAGCCTAAACTGCTGAACGGATCTCCATGAAATTTGGCACAGATTTAGAGCATAGTCTAGAAGAACACATGGCTAATTTTTATGCTGGGAGTAGTTACAGTTTCCGTGGGATTCATTTTTTTTAGTTTTTTAATGTTTAGTCGATCATTCTGCAACGGTTCAACATATCTTATTTAAATTTGGCACAGATATAAAACAAAGTCTGGAGTATACATGGGATAAGTTTCATCCCTGAGAAATGTCCGGTTCTCGAGGTATACGTAGCTTTTTGTTATTTATATAGTTCGTATGTTTTCTAATACCACGCGGATGAAGTCGCGGGCAACAACTCGTTATGATATAAGGATAGTGTTAAGTGCATGTCAATAAAAAGTCAAAATAAGAACAGTGTTTGTGGAGTAAGAACTGCTTTTAGACTAAGGTCAAAGTTCGCAAAAAATAAAAGTAACATCAGATAAGCCTCGAAAGAGATGATCTTATAGTCTTTTCAAACAATCTTTTTCACTACACTCGACAGACGTTGAGTTTGAGCAATCTCTTAGTATTTAAAGAATTAAATACTGTTCCCATTTAGTTTGGAATGTCGCCTAACTGTCAAACATTTTATACGTAAAAATAATGTTACAGTTTTTACAATTGTGGAGTCCGGTTTAATATCTTTGCACGAAATGGGCCGTCATCCGCTGTAAAACAGAAACACAGACCTAATTATAGTTCTCTATCTCTTTCCTTACTTTTGTAAGATAAGGAAGGGATTGGTAGGGGTAGGACATATTGGTAGAAGAAATATCCACTTTCTGTACATCCCTTCACCTGTAGATTGCATTTGTAAAAAAAAAAAATAATAGGCATTAGCAGTAATGTAAAATTAGTGTTATGAAGCCTTGATATTTTCTTTTAACAATTGAACTGAATAGACGTGTGAAGGTATGTGTATTGTAATCGAATAAACATCAATTGCATTCAATATCAAAACACTTTGCAAATGAAAGGCAAAACATTAACACATCGATGCAAGACAATCCAAAGGTTAGATGTCGTAAACCTTTTTTGTCTTTGGATCGATAGCTGATGATAATAAAGCGATCGACACAAGCTTTTGTTTAGGAACACTTTTATTAGATGGAGCCTACTTGTGCAACTGTTGTACAATACGAGCTAATAAAGGTTTTAACTTTGGTATTTCTAAGGTTTCAGATATTTTTGGTTTTTTCGTATAGTACGAATACGGTCATTTTGCGGATTTACATTTTCTTTTAGAGATTTTTTTTAACTCAGGAAACATTTTTAAGAAATGTCGATTTGTAACAGTGCCATCTATCGGAGATTCAACTATACGCATAATTAAAAATCGATTAGAAATTGTGCGACGCACAGAAAAAATAAATGTAGATCCGAAAACATTGTATTAAAAAAAGAAAACTTATAAAATTGGCAAAAAGTATGTTTCCGCCCGGGATCGAACCGGGGGCCTTCTGCGTGTTAGGCAGATGTGATAACCGCTACACCACGGAAACGATATCTGCAACGTTGAATTTAAGTTTTATAAATTAACTACTTTAAAATAATTAAAAAAACATGTGGAGTTTTCAATTTATTTTTCACTCAAATATTATTTCTAAGTAAAAACTTACAAAAGGCAATTCAAATATTAGGATAATAAAATCTTGCTTCTTAGTTTACAAATGTTTAACGCGATGTAGTCACTGAAAGTCTAATATTTCTAATTATCAAAAGAAAACAAAATGATGTTTAAATATTTAATTAAGTAGCATAAGATACACATCAATAAAATTCTTATCTTAAATATAAAAAGCATTTTAGATTGCAATAAAAAAATAGTAGGTAGATAGAACCTACTAAGTTGATCAATGATAGAGTTATTTGGAGGACAAAAACCTAAGCCGACCCTACAAGAATGGGATAAGAAGAATGATAATGACGGAATATTGGAATGATTGATTGAGCATTTGTGATTAAATATTATTCTTGAATACTATTAGTAAAAGTACAGTCAGCTACACAGATATATGTATACATTATTTTTCAACCAGCAGTTTCATCTGCATGTAATTAATAAAAATTATGTAGCTATCTTTTCCGGATTATGTTATTTCTAGGCTAAACTTCATCAAGAACCATTCAGCCAATTAGGCTATACACTCTAACATACATCCATCCATACAACCTTTTACATTTATAACAATAGTAAGTTTTACAAAGCTTTAGTAACTTGTACAAATCTTCAGTTTCAAAAAAATGCATGTATCTGTCCGATCTTGAATACATACTATTGATAAATATGTGCATTTCATTTTGGCATCTATACAAGATTCTCAAGTTTTGTAAATGTATACCTATTTGTGCAGCTGACTGTATATTACAAGTGTAATAAAAGACTCGAGTTTTTAAATATTTAACTAAATTGCAATGAGCGAAAATAGTATATACTTAATAACTTATAACATTTAGAGGATGTTGACAAAGTTAAATGCTTAAAAATTAAATACATATCAATAATTGATTTTCTATTATTTTTTAGTATCATTTCGTTTAAATATTAAAAGATTCTTTGATTTGTGTGCGGGTATTAGAAAATGTCTATTATGCAACTTTATAACATCAAAATATATGATAAAATTATTTATTATCTATCTACAGCATTAGATATATTGTAATAGTGGTGTTAAGCATTATTAACAATGTTCTACTCTCGAAAGTGCGACGTAACTTTGTTTAGTGTCCATATCATAGTAACCCACAGGGCCTGCATCACAGTCCGCACAACTCAGGTATTTGTGGTTAGCAACTGTATGCGTAAAGCCGATATTCTCAAACGTATACATGTTATCAACGTGATAGAACTGATTTATTCTTTCACTTTGCACGTCACCCTCTTTGTTCTTCTCCTGTTGCATCAACGGCAGATCTTTCTGAAATTACACATAATATAAGGCCGACTTTGTACATTTATAAATCAACATTAAGTAAAGAGCGTTTTTACCTCTTGAGTAATATATTTTGCTGATTTTTTATCTAAAATTTTCGATGTGCAATATTTACATTTGATTATCAATTTATTTTGTCCATCTTCTACGTAGTCTGTTTCAGGAAATTCGACAGGTTTTTCAACACTTTCGGATTCCGACATTGTTGGTCAGAATTAATTCACAAATGTAGGTCAAATTGTGAAAAAATAATTCGTGTAAAATCGGTGAAATGACAGATTTCAGATTTTCAATTTCAAAATGCATTGACACATTTACAGGGAACGTTGTAAAACCTAGACATTTTATTTATTAATACATTTTCTTATTCTGAAATTCGTAGTAATTAAAAAAGCACTAATGTTTAAAATTTATTGAAAATCATTCTATTTTGTTTTTAAACGTAACAAACTACTTAAAACGACACACAATCTATGACATACATTTTATTTTCGAATATCAAAAAACTAAATAACTATTGAATATTACTTCTATAAAAATTATTGTATTGTTGATTCAAAATAAGAAAGATTTTTTTTCAAAATAATTGCAAAAAATGGTTGACTTTTTGCAATCTGTAACAACATTTTGACACTTCTGTTTTATTTACTCTTTGCTTTTATGTTTGTGTGTAGTTTTTGAAATTGTCAATGTCAACAAATCAATCGAAATCGAAAAAAAAGGCGAGAAGGTTATTATTGAATGCGTTCAAAGTTAAAATTATTCTACAATCTTTATAACTTATTTGAAAACCTACACGATGAGTTCTGGATTTATATCTGAATCGGAGATATTGGAAGCGAGACGAAGACGTCAGGAAGAATGGGAAAAAGTGAGAACCGAAGATCAACCTAAAGGTAATCAAAACTTTATTGTTAGACGTAAATGTTTTAATCCTAAACGTCGACTAAGGTTTCTGTTCAATATGTTTGCGTATAAATTACACGTAGGTATAACTTCCGTTAATGATTTAATAAATACATTACGACCAAACTACTAAGAGCTAGGTCAGCGGATAGAATTACATTTATATATTTGGCTAACAGTATCAGTTTGTTATCAATTCTCATCTCTCAAAATGATAGCTAAAGTCTAAATGCGAAATATGGATAGTTGTTTGCTATTATATATATTTAAAACTGCTAATATCAAAACTTGGACAGGTAAAACACAGTCTGGAAGAGTGCAAAGGTTATTTAATAAGTTGTTTTTCTGCACAGATTTACAGGCCAAAGGTATTTAATATTATTGATCAAAGACTATTATATTATACAGAGGCACCAGAAGAAGCATATGATACAAGGCCGCTGTACCATCGCTTGGAAGAGCAAAGACTAAAGAAGGAAGCAGAGTATGAAGAAGCACATAAACTGAGTAAGTAATAAATATTCTGTTGTGCAATTTTTATTCACAACCATCAAGAAAAGAGCATATTTCTCCCTTAACCCTTAATCAAAAATGTTTATCGTTTGGAGTTTACTGTAAGCTGGTTTTTTTTTAGATAAGGTCTATGGATTTCGAAAATAATGATTATGGGGATTTTGATGGTTTGGGATGGTTGTTATTGACTAGAGATACCATGAAATTAATTTTACTACAATGTCAAGTGGGAAGTAATTACCCAATGTTTTATGAAGGGTTTTTACCCTTTTGGGTAGCAACACATCTGCAATTACCCTGGTGTTGTGGATGTCCATTGCCATATGTTCTAATAGTATTATGTGATCTGCTGTTTGTGTGCTTTCTTTGAAACTCAACGTTGTCTTAAGAGTATTTAAGTTGTATTTATGACTCAACTTCTATGATTGTAAGAATAACAAGCAGATATATAAGTTATCAAATATTTATATTTCTCCTACTTATGGTAACATTCTCTATGATAATATCTTATGAGTGTTTTCACTCAGTTATTTATTTATTTATTCATTATGTAGAGATGATAAACTTTTTCAAGTAAATCTGCAATTTTTAGTTTACCTTTGAGTGTACTTTTACTTTTTTATGATAATAATGAAAAAAGAAGCAAGCAACTACCATAATTCACCAAAATTGCGAAGTGCATAAAATTTAAAAACCAGAATACAAGTAGTAAAAGCAGAAAAACCATATTTCCATTACCTAAGTGTCCCCGCCCCTGTCAAAAAACTTTCCACTGTTAAGACTTGTTGACAAATATTAATTGGTTTTTCAGAGAACATGATCAGAGGTCTGGATGATGATGAGGTAGGATTCCTAGACCTGGTGGAGAGGACCAAGGCGAAGGCGGCTCAGCAGATATCACTTGAAGAGCAGAAGGAAATGCAGGAGTTCAGGTTAGTGTTAACATTATTTAAACCTTTAATATGACTTCTTAGGAATAAAAATCATATATAACAATATTATAAAGAGGGAATATTTGTATATTTGTATGTATTGAAATAACTCAAAAACTATTTGGGAGATTTCAAAAATTCTTTCAGTCATAAAAAGCTACATTATTAGTGAGTAACATAGGCTATATTTTAAAATCACTCTGGCGAAGTCGCTAACAACAGTTAGTCTATGCTAATATTATAAACAAGAAAGAATTATATTTTTTATTTATATTTACCTCAAAAACTACTGTACTGATTTAAAAAAAATATTTCATCATTAAAAAGCTATGTTATCAGTGCGTAACATAGATTATGTTTAAATTTCACGCGGACGAAGTCGCGAACAACAGCTAGTGTTTTAATTATTATTTCCTCATTTATTTTCAAAGACAATTATAAGGAAGAAAATATGTGTGTTTTGTTATTGTGAAGTAATTATGTAATGTCAGGGAGCGAGTATCAAATCTGGCGGAGAGTGAGGAGTTGATCAGACTGCGGGCGCAGCTCGCTCCCACGCGCACCACCACCACACAGCCCGCCAAGAATAAACTGCAAGGGGTGAGTACATAATACATGTAACTAAAACATTGTGACCCTTTAAAGTAAATGATGATGACAATATTTGTCTATCAGTGTTGTTAAGATTTTTGATGTGATTTCCAGGTTGTTGTAAGGAAAAGGAAAGCCAGTGAAATGGAAGGAGAGAAGACGGACAAAGAACCAGAGAAGTCATCGCCACCTAAAAATGGAACAATCAAGTATGAGATAAACTTAACATGTGAAAGTTTGGATGCATGAATTTTTGACTATTACTCCATACATCTAAATAGTATTATATGTATGTTTGTATTATTTAACAATGATAATTACAGTATAGTTAAGTTACTTGTATGTAAAAATGCAATTACTTTGTGATAGTATTATCGCTTTTTACTTGATCAACTTTTAAATTGCAAACTCAGTATGTAATAGCTACTCTTATATCATACTCTGTACTAATACTAGTTTTTGCCCGAGACTCCGCCTGCGTGGAATTAACAAAAAAACAATAGTCTATGTGTTCTTCCAGACTATCCTCTAAGTCTATGCTAAATTTCATCGAAATCCCTTCAGCCGTTAACATCCATCCCTCAAAACTTTCGCATTTATAATCATACTAATATTAGATGTCTGTTAGGGTTTGGAGCCTAAACAGCTGAGCGGATCTTAATGAAATTTGTTACTGATATAGAGGATAGCCTGGAACACATAGGCTACTTACTCTTGTCTCTTAATTCCACACGGACGGAGTCCGGGTTGAAAAGCTAGTATTTCTATATTTGCCACAGTAAATAATATCAGGTTATTTTCCAGTACTGCGCAACAGAATGGTACAGCGGAAGTGGGGCATGTGGGGCCTGTGGGGCAAGTGGGGCAGGTGGGAGAAGTGG